ATATATATATATATATATATATAGAATACATATAAAGAAAATTTCATTGCTCAAATTAGTTGTTTTAATAGTTCATCGAACTTATTTATAGCAGTATCTATTCATTTACCGTATGGTGGTTGAACTGCTAATTGAAGAAGGTTTGCTGTCTAGAGATCAGCAAGTAATAGATTTCCTCAAAGACTACGACGGTCTGATTACACGTAAAAGAAAGGAACGAATGTTAAAAAACAATTAATTTGATTTAACGATGCATATTCCATTTCGTTTAATAAATAATTATTAAAAAAGAAGCCTGGTTCCACCTGAAATTCCGAAGTTCTAAACAAGATTGTGGGAAAATCAGTTATTTTATATTTTATACTACCATTTTATAATATTACTATTTTATACTACTATTTTATAATATTATGCTTTGTATTTTTTTCTTTTTGTAAAGTTTTTCAATTGCATCACGAAATACGAAAAAAAATTACAGGAAGGCATATAAATGCATGTTTTACAGCGTACTTTTACGTGCTTAGTAAAAGGTAATGAAATTTTGCAAGCTTAACAACTTGAGGTTTTTGCCACTGTTCAAAGATATGATTATCCTGAGTTTATACAGCTTCGATTTTGCCGGTTTAGTCCTCCAAAATAATCCTTTTTTTTTTTTCATACTATTTTATAATATTTTCGACTGAATAAACCAAATAAATTAAAAGGGATGCAGTTAATATATATTATATTACTTAAAAAATAAATAATTCAAAATAGTGTTGTGATCCTTTTGAAATTGAGGAAATTAGGAAATTATCAATAGTAAAAATTCAGTTTATGTTTATTAATAATTCACTATGCATATTTCCTTTTTTCTTTATTGATGAAGTCAAATATCTGTGGTTTTTTTTTTGTTTTTAAAGCTAATTTTGTAATGTTTACGCAAGGAGATGTAAAATAAGAGGGGCCAATTGCAAGCCTAGACAAGTTTCAAACATGTTTAGATATAAACCTCCATAAATTGACTTGGGAAGGTGTTACAACATTCATGTGATAGTTCCCAAGATCAGTGGAATGATAAATCATATAATAACTAACTGCATTCCTTCATTCCTTTTGATTTTACACTGGTTTGCAATAACAGCACTCATGTATGCAATGGCTGCGACCTTCGCACCTGGTCTCATGCAACAGTATTGTTTATTGCAAACCGGTCTGTTCTTTTATAGTTGTTCAAGCATTTTAAAGTTCCCATCTTTTGGCTTTGTTAACTTTTAATTTCAAAAACTATTATCTTGCTCAAAGATTAGCTGTAACAAGTGCTTAAGGGTTTGAGTATTTCCTCAAGCGTTATCATTTTCACGCCATCACAAACATCCTATGTGAACTTCTGTAGGAAATAACACATCACATTCTATATAACTTTAAATCTCCTCTATCATCGCGTTGCATCATTCAATCAATGCTTAAATTGTGTTTTCAACGCTTCTTGTACGATGCGTTTTTCATTATGTTTATTTCTCGTTCCTTCCATAGAGACGATCTTGTTTCAATCCATATTGATAAAAATTGTGTTGTTAGGAAGTAACAAGCTTTAAAGGACACCAAGAAATGAAATTGTGGTGCCGAATTGTGATCAGAAAGTGATAATTAATATAACTGCTCATGTAGCAGAAGAAAATCAGAATATAAGTCACTTAATTTGAACGATTCCTAACTTCAAGAATTACTCAAGGTTATTATATGCCTTTTGCAATGAATGATTCCAAAACTTGCAGTCAAATGAACTCGTTTTCTTGAATAAAACTAAAAATTTACCAGCCGAACATATAGATATATGACTGGTAAAGTAAGCATACGTTTGCTTTATCAGTTGCATGTGTGCATGTTATGGTTAACAAAATAACATGAAACGTGCTTCACCGATAAAAAAAAAAAAAAACATTTATCAGAATAATATTCCATTTTGCTTACTAGTAGATAAGTGGTGACAATAATGATAATGAACTTTTTGAAAAATAACAAACGTTTAACCAAGTTGCGATGTTGACATATTTCTTATTCTCAAATCGTTATTTCGAAGAAAGCTATTTTTCTTTATATATATATATATATATATATATATATATATATATATATATATATATATATATATATATATATATATATATATATATATATATATATATATATATATA